GAGGATGAGAAGCCTAGATGGCATCACAGATGCAATGGACATGAACTTGAGCAAACTTCAGGAGATGGTGAGGGACAGAGAGGCCTGATGTGCTGCAGTCCATGGGGTAGCAAAGAACTGGACATGACTGAGCAACTTTAACCAGAGAAGGCAATGGCACCCCACTCCAGTACTCTTGCCTGGAAAATCCCATGGACAGAGGACACTGGTGGGCTGCAGTCCATTGGGTCGCAACGAGTCAGACATGACTGAGCGACTTCACTTTCACTTTCATGCACTGGAGAAGGAAATGGCAGCCCACTCCAGTGTTCTTGCCTGGAGAATCCCAGGGATGGCGGAGCCTGGTGGGCTGCCATCTATGGGGTCACAGAGTCCGATACGACTGAAGTGCCTTAGCAGCAGCAGCAGAGCAACTTTAACACCTTTTCACTTTCACTCAAAACACTGTAGTGTGAAAACAAGGACTTTGGAGCCAAAGGCAACCTGAGCTTTCATTTCTTTTGTAGCAAGGCACTTTGGTTTAATTTACTTAACTCGAATTCTTGCTCATGTTCGTGATTAAGCAGTATACAGATGATTGAGAATTTGGTCTCACGTTTTCATAAAAGGGTGAGATTTTTCTGTTCAGAGTCCTTCTCTTATTTAAAGGAATGCTTTCCTAATACCAACAAATGGCCTAACTGCTTTTGAGTGCAATGAATAATAAAACAGTATCAGTTCAGTTCAGTCGCTCAGTTGTGTCCGACTCTTTGCGACCCCATGAACCGCAGCACGCCAGGCCTCCCTGTCTATCACCAACTCCCAGAATCCACTCAAACCCAAGTCCATTGTGTTGGTGATGCCATCCAACCATCTCATCCTCTGTTGTCCCCTTCTCCTCCTGCCCTCAATCTTTCCCAGCATCAGGATATTTTCAAATGAGTCAGCTCTTCGCATCAGGTGGCCAAAGTGTTGGGGAGTTTCAGCTTCAACATCAGTCCTTCCAATGAACACCAGGATGGACTGGTTGGATCTCCTTGCAGCCCAAGGGACTCTCAAGAGTCTTCTCCAACACCACAGTTCAAAAGCATCAATTCTTCAGCGCTCAAGCTTCTTTATGGTCTAGCTCTCACATCCCTACATGACTACCGGAAAAACCATAGCCTTGACTAGACGGACCTTTGTAGGCAAAGTAATGTCTCTGCTTTTTAATATGCTATCTAGTTTTATATTTAACCCAGTGTTAAACATGTCATGTGATCAATATTATGTGGCAATAAACTCAGTTTGTCTGATTTTCTCCAATGGCTCATATGTGAATATACTCAGAAAAATGATTATAGATACATTAAAAGTAAATAAACATCATTAGAAAGTAAATATATTCAGACTAAATAAATAAACAGATGTTTAAAGTTGTATATGCCACTAAATCTTATTCACAGGTATACCAGCAATCAGCACAACTAATCCAAATGTTAACAATTTAGCACAAACATTTTCAATATCAGAAGTCAATTATTTTTTCAAGAACGCTTTTTACATGCTTAGCTACCTTACACTGTATGTTGACAGAACTTATACCATTGAAATAAACATCACAGAAATAAAATTTTTTGAAGACTTCCAGAACTTAGAGTAAAAATGTTAGATGAAGAAGGAAAGTGGCACAGATCAGCTAACAAATAATTTGAGACCTAATCCTTACTAGAATTTACTCTGTGACCTGAAAGTTATATAATCCCTGTGCTCCACCTGCCTCCATACATGAAACAGGCAATCTACACACGCTAATACCAATGAATGGCAGCCATTTGGAAAACCCATTCAGAAAAAAATTAAGTTAGCTCTCTGCCTCTCACCATATAGAAAAATGAGTACCAGTTCAGTTAAAGGTCTAAATGTGAAAAATACAGTAGAAAAACTCAAGACATTTTATCATGTTAGAGTAGGAGGGCTTCTCTAGACTAGCATGAAACACAGAAACCATAAAGGCTGATTTTACTACATAAAAATTTAAATGGTTTATTAGTATGAAAGATACTCCAATGCTAAACAATAAGGCCTGGGAGAAAATATTTAAACATCTTAAAAGACAAGGTTAATATCTACACTTTGTAAAGGAAAGGTTCCTACAAAGCTATCAAAACAAACATTTCAAAAGAAAAGTGGGAATCATATGTAAACAGGTGGTACAAGATATAAAAATCAATGGCCAAGAGACTAACAAGATTTTCCATCTTATTAGTAAGAATAAAAGTACAAATTAAAGCCATAAAATATTACAGTGGCAAAAATTCTGAGATAAATAATTTTACTGTCATTAACAGTGTGGAGGAATGGATACTCTCTTTCACTGCAGATGGAAATGAACATTGGTAGAGTTCTTTTGAACAGTAATTTGATAGCAGCTACCTCCTTGTAAAAAAACATAGCCCATGAGCCCAACAGCTTCATATCTAGAAATTTATTCTACATAAATACATTTGTGTATAAATATATAAGAATAAGGATGTTCAAAAAAAGTATTAGTATTTGCAATAATCAAAGAAGTGAAAGTCACCAAAATATTTATTAGAGAATGATTATAGTATAACAGAATGTACTTCTGCAGATGTTTAAAGGAATGAAATAGATTGCAAAAGATGTCAAAGGAAAAAAGTCGCAAAGAATGTTAGAAAAAAAATCTGTTTAGTTGTTTTTCTAAATACACAGAATAAGTTTCAGAAGATGAGGAAGAGTAGGAGGGTAGAAGAAGCGAATAATTCTAAATTCACACTTATTGTCTGAATGTTTTATGATGACCAAATACTACTTTTATAATTAAAAAAAAGAAGATGGGAATTTCATACGTCATTCAGCAATGTGTCACGCACAGCATCCAGAATGTAGTATTCAGTTCCTACAATGAACTGCAATGATCCTTTGCTAACTGCAGTTCTAAGACACAAAAAATAAAATTTTTCAATCCGTTTATTTCTGTTGCCTCAAACAGAAGAGCACAGCAGCTTTGCTCCCAACTCCCACAAAAGAAGTGGGCAGGTGTATGGGAGGAAGACCCAGCAAGAATATTCATTTCTGCTTTATCATTTCAATATATGATAGCTAACCAAGCCCAGAAGAAAAAAAAAAAAAAACTCACAAAACAAAATTAACCAAGATTGATCTGTGAAAAGGCAGAGACTTGTGAAAACAAAACTATCAACAGAGAATGCTAAGTATACAACCCGTGATGTTTCAGGTCTGCTGGAGCCATATGAATGAAGCTCTCTAAAAGAAGTAAGAGTTTGTATAATGTAAAACTTGTGGGAGAATCTGCCCCAGCAATGTTTCCTGAATACCTAAAGGAGCTGATTCAGGATAGGGGTTACTGGACCAGGTTTTTAAAGATAAAGACTGGTTTGTTTGGGAAATGGATGCCCCTCAGGGAATAGAAACTTCACCTGTGTTTTAAAAATAGGCTTTCTGCCATTTTCATTGTTTCCCCCAACTCACTCTTATCCATGAGACTTTGATCTTAACAACTGCAGTTTTGCTGGCCACAATACTTTTCAGGAACATAGTTCCCGACCTTGGCAAAGAATTTGAGTTCAAGAGATATTATAAAACTTTAAAGTCAGAAAGATTCAATTCAAATCCTAATTTCTGTTTCAAGGTGCATTATCACAGGCAAGTTACCCACTCCAGTATCTGAAGTGGAGACACTGTAAAGGGTGGAAAAAACACAGGCAGCATCTAAGCAAAGTTCTCGTGCACAGAAAACCCTTGTCAAATGGGAGCGAGGATTTTTCTATTATAACACCTTTGACCTGAGTGTAGGAGTGGAGAGGGAATAGCGGGCAGGGCATCTGAAGTGTTCCTGCAATTCTACTGGGACTAGATGTTAGGCTTTCTAATTTGCTAAAGATGAATTGATTCCATCCACCCATGCAGAATATAAGTGCATTTGATAGAATACAGCAAAGTTAGGGTTTATATTGTAAGCTATTTTTAAAACTGCCTGGTTAGCAAATTAAACCAGCTGTGAAAATATCCTGGTTTCCATTCACAACAAATACAAGACAAACACTCGCCTTTAATGGACCTAGCCTCATGGTAGCATAGCATATTCTGCATAATTCACTCCTAAGGGTTTCGGAGACAAAATTTTCATAGGACGGACCAAAACTATTTTTGAGGGGAAAAAAGAAGATGAGAGGAAAGAGTTTCTCTCTACAGATTTTCAGTGAATTCCACAAGTCACTGTCCCATTAACTTAGGAGACTACTGTCTGAATAAAAAAATGGTAGTTATGTCAGTACTTGAAGCCGGTCTTAACTGTTTTTCCTTTAAAAGGGCATATGAAACACCAGTCTGCTCTACAACATTATTTTTCAAGTTCTGTGACAGAGGGAAGAAAAAATCTACTCACTGCCACCAGAAAGCTACCCAGACGACTCTCAATTTCAGATTTAGAACTTATCACTCCTTAAGAAGTTAGAGGAGAGATTCTGAATTATTTAGGATGTTGGCCAAGTCATATTATTTATAATTCCTGTTCCTCTGGGGAAACAATTTGTTATTTCAACAAAGATCAGAAGTATAAATAACTAAATGGAATAGAATTTCAGGAAGTACTATTCAAATAAATTCACACTTGGAATGCAGGGCAACAGTCTACTAATTCAGTTCACTTCATAAAGACATTGCTAAGAAAAGGATATACCATTTTACACTATCTTTGGAAATCAACCAGACTGAGTCAGTTCAATTTGAAACATCCTAAGCCTTAAAGCCTTTGCTAAAGTGTAACATAAATTTTAATTAGTCAAGTGTGAAAAACTACAAAGCCAACTTTCTTGCCCCTCCAGTTAGTCTGTCTATAAATAGAAGCAATGCACTGACAGCCACCAAAGCAACTGGGGAGGAGTTTCACAATGTACCCAACATATACATCCCTTGCAAACATGCTCTCAGCATGTTTAACCAAAGTGCTTCTGAAGATCTGTAATAAGACCCTTTTTAAATAAACTGTGACTCACTGTTTGCTTTCTTCACCAGGAGGTGGAGTCTTGCCATGCCCTTCCATCACAAAATCCTCCTGTTCCACCTGCAAAGTCAAGCACCACAGGTCAGCAGCAGTCAGGAACCAAGACGCAGTCACTTCCAAGTGCAGGGCCTGTGCTTACAGAACCATGTGGCATTCCACTACACGCCTAACTAGGACAGAAGCCCCAGTCAATGGTTTTCCCACTCCATGTTTGTATAGGGCATCTCTCCTTGGGTGACCAGATTTACAGAATAAAAAAAGGAAGCATGTTGATTTGCAATTCATAACTGTGACAAAAGGTCAGCATCCAGAATATAATAAAAAAAATGCTATGAAACAGTAAGAAAAAGACAACCTACCAGAAAACTCTACAAAATAACTGAGTGTGAATTTCACTTAAGAGGATGCATACACATCCCTAAATAAATGAAAAGATGTTCAGTCTCCTGTCAATCAAGAAAATGCAAATTAAAACCATAAAGAGATACCATTTCACCACCATCAGGCTGGCTAAAGTTTAAAAGTAGGGCAATACCAAGTGTTGACAAGGGTGCAGAGCAATAGCAACTCTCATTCATTCCAGTGGGAGCGTAAATTGGTACCACTGTTTTTACGTAGTCTGCCATTATCTACTACACTTGACTATGTACTTACTGTACAAACCAGTGACTGCACTTCTAGATATATACCCCAAAGAAACTTTTGTGCATATACAAAAATATTTATAGTAGCACTATTTTTAACAGGAAAAAAATAAACATTCATCAACACTAAAAGTAGACAAATAGGCAATGGTGTTTTAAGACAACAGAGTATAATACTACATGAAAATGAATGAACTACAGCAGCACACCTCAACCTGGATGAGTTACAAAAACACAATACTAGGTGAAAGAAGCAAGTCACAGAAGAATAAAAATCAAGTATAAATCTATTAAAATAAGTTCAAATATACAAATTTTAAAATCACACATATGTGTATACAAAGACACATATGTATATTTATAGTTCATAGAACTATAAAGAAAAGGGATAACTATTACAAACTTTAGGCTAATTAGTATCTTAGGGAGTTGGGGGGATTCATTCAGGAAGGGGCATATGGTTTCTGGAGTACAGATTCTATTTCTTGGCCTATGTAGTAGGTATACGGGTGCTTATTTTATAATTATTCTTTTAACTGTGTGTTTTTCTTTTCTCTTTCATAAGTATGGTTTATTTCTGAATACAGTTTTCAAAAGAAGAAACAAAGCATTCTATTATTCCAGATGGTTTATTGCTCAATAAAGGAAAATAAGTGGCAAAGACAGAGCTACCTAGACAAACTGAGACGATTAGTCCTATGAAAACATCCCCAAAAGGCATAATTTTTAAAAAGTCAAACAAAAGTATTCAAGGAGAGAGATCTCAACGGATGTATTCAAGGATTATTCCCTACTTAGAAAACTACTGCCCATTTCTTTTTTGCTGTTGTTGTTGCTCAGTCGTGTCCGACTCTTTGCGACCCTATGGACGGCAGCACGCGGGGCTTCCCTGTCCTTCACCATCTCCTGGAGCTTGCTCAAACTCATGTCCATTTAGTCAGTGATGCCATCCAACCATCTCATTCTCCGTCCCCCCTTCTCCTCCTGCCCTCAATCTTTCCCAGCAATCAAGGTTAATTAATTTTTATTGGAGCACAGTTGCTTTACAATGTGTTAGTTTCTACTGAGCAGCAAAGTGAACCAGCCCTATGTATACTTACACCCCCTCCCTATTGGGCCCCCTTCCCATCCAGGGCATCATATTAAGTAGAGTTCCCTGTGCTATTTCTTTTAAGTAATCTGGAAGACAGACAACAGTAATACAGACACACACCATAATGAAACCCAAATAAAACAAAAGCCTTTCCAGCTCTGCAACCCTCCCTCTGCAGTCTTCATTTCAAGAAATACTGGAGAAGATGGAATAGTATTAAGAGGCTAAGTTTCAAAAAGAACAGAAAAATTGATATTTTTAATGGAAAAATCTCCTTTCCATTAAAAGGAGAAACTGGAGGAATTGTAAGCAAGAATAATAAAAAACGCATACTGTGAAATTCAAACCAGGTTTCGACTTTTATTCTTCTCTGTGGACCTCCTGATCTTGCAGCCTACCAGGTTTTGCCAAGGAGAGACAGGATTCTCCCATTCTAAATTTACACAGTGATCTAAACCTCTAGAAGAAAAAAACATGGTTACAGTGTTGCAAAGGGAACTTTATGAGGAAGTAGAGATGATCTTTATCTAGGTCTTGGTTACAAGAAAGTACACATACATGAAAAAAAAAATGAACTGTGCATTTTCTGAACTTTACAAATAAATGTTATGCCTCAATTAGGAAAAACAGATGACAAATGTTTTAAAGTTCCTTGGAATAATTTTCTCAAAGAATGACTATTTTCTATATACTATGAAATTTTCTCGATCTTTCATCTCTAAAAATCCTCTCCAATTAAAGACCTCTACATTGTGGACTTGGCCTCTGCTTATCTATAACCAATTTTTAATAACCACAATAATGACAAGAAGTAATAATCAAAAAGCCCACAGTTTCAACAAGCTCCCCTATAAGGACTTTCAAATCTTTAACTGCTGCCCCCATAAAGTGAGTGAAAGCTGCTCAGTCATGTCTGACTCTCTGCGACCCCAGGGATTGTAGCCTACTGGGCTCCTCAGTCCCTGGAACTCTCCAGGCAAGAATACTGGAGTGGGTTGTGATTCACTTCTCCAAAGGATCTTCCTGACCCCGAGACTGAACCCCTCTCTTCTGCACTGCAGGCAGATTATTTACCATCTGAGCCACCAGGGAAGCCCCCATATTTTGGATATTAGTCTCCACTTGGATGGTCCAATAGGTCCAAAATGAAACACCATCTTTGTCCTTAGATTTCCTCTTTTTTATATTCCCTATATCTGTAAATGGTACTATCATCCACCAAGATCCTCAAACAGGAAACTTATAATAACAGGCTCTCCACCTTCCTTCCTTAACCCCTTAACTTCCTTGTTAACCACTAAGTACCGTGACTTCTATCTCTTACACAGCTGTCATACTCATTACCCCTTCCTTATCCCCTTTAACTGCCATAGGTAAAGACAGCTTCTCTAAATCTCATGACTACAAAAGCCTTCTCACTAGTCTTTGTGCTTTGGGTCCCATCTCATTTCAATCCATCCTCCAAATCACTTCCATCAAATGCAAATTGTAAAGTGCAAACAAGATCACATCCTTCTCCTTGAAATTTTTCACTCTCATCACCTCTCTTGAGGGCTAAAAGTTCAGTTCATTTGCCTAAGTGATCTTTTTTATCACCCCTGCCTCCCTCACCCATTCCTCACCCCTGGTGGAGCACACACCAACTTCTCAGTCCTTTGTGCCTTTCCATAGAATGTCTCTTCTTGCCTAGAAACCCCGGTCTTCTGCCTCACATTCACTGCACATTCCTGCTCATTCCTTCAAGTACCAATTAAAATGCTTTTCCCCAGAAGACACTATCTCCTTCACCAGGGTTCTTACCTTTTCTCACTGTACAGCATCTCAGAAGGCAACAAAAATGGTCCAGAAAGATCACTGCTCCTTACTGCCAATTCATCTGTTTTTCTCAAGACCATTTCCTCCTTTATTCTCTTCCATCTCTTTATTTCTTTATTGTCTCTTCCCATCTTTATTTCTTTTCTACAAATGTCTTGAACACTTTTGGACTTAATTTGATGATCTCCACCACTCCTCCCCCTTGATCTCATTTTCAGAAGCTTAAATATTTTCATTCATAAAATTTACACCATGGAGAAGGAGAGGGTGGGACAAACTGAGAGAGTAGTATTGAAACAAATACATTACCATATGTGAAATTAGATAGGCAGTGGATATTCGCTGTATGATGCAGGGAGCTCAAACTCTGTGCTCTGTGACAACCTAGAGGAGTGGGATGGGGTGGGAGGTAGAAAGGAGACTCAAGAGAGAGGGGACATGTGTATACTTATGGCTGATTCATGCTGATATATGGCAGAAACCAACACATCGTAAAGCAACTGTGCCCCAGTTAAAAATAAATAAAAAACAAAACAAAAAAAGAAAACTTACACCATATCCTCACCTTTCTCTCACTTCCATTCATTTAACAAGTATTTGTTGGGTACATATTACATGCTAGGTGCTGTGGTGAAGAAGACAGTCTTTGCCCCACCCCCTTGAAACTTGCAGATTGGTGGGAAAGACAAACTAGTTACTTATGAAATAGCCAGAGAATGCAATGAAACAACTTAAGGAAGAAAGGGCACTAAACTCAGTCTACAGGCATCAGATACTCTAGACCCATCCTAGGCAGCTTCATCTCCCTGCTTCAACGAGGAGGTGGGCAGGACCCGAGGCTGGGTCTTGCCATCCATCTGGACCTCTCTACACTGAGGTCCATGAACTCTGAGATCTGCCTCTGACCACAAGCACCTCTTCCACACCTTCCCTCCGCTTGAATTTGTAAGGAGTCTTCACTGTCCCATCTAGTTCTGTGGTTTTCCTCTTCCCTCACTGTCTGTTCAGAGCTTTAGCCGACAGGCATCCCGGTGACTTTTCTCTGCTAAGTCTGCTCACCACCAACTTGTCCTAAGGACATCCCTGTCTTGCCAAACCCTTCCCCTTCTCCCCTTCAGCTTCTGGAGTGCAGAACTGGAGAAAGCTACAAAACTGGTTCCTTTACAAACTATACCAATTAACTTCACTCAGTGCTGACATTCAGCACCTCTGCCTGGACAGCCTGTCCTCATCCTGTCTTTCTGGTGAACTTCCACTTAACCTTCAAAGCCTGGTTGCAAAGTTACTGTTTTAGGAAGCATTTTCTGCTATCTCCCAGCACTTCCTCTTCCTCCCTTTCCCTGTGCTCCTTCCTAGCTCTGAAAGGCAGAGCAAGCAGCTGTGATCCTTGGCTCACCTGCTCCCCCCTGCTGTTGAGCCCAGGAGGGAAACAATGTAACTTCTGTCAGTGGATTCATCCCAGACTCTAACACAGGCCTTCTGGTCCATCATTTATTCTTTCAACAAAA